TCTTCTTTTTTTTTTTTTTTTTGTTCTCTGGTTTTGGTATCAGGGTGATACAGGCCTTATAGAATGAATTTGGCTATCTCCTCCCCCTTGAATTTTTTGTAATATTATACTATCAGTAGGATTGGCATTAGTTCTTCTTTGAACGCTTGGTAGAATTCAGCAGTGAAGCCATCGGGTCCTGGGCTTTTCTTTGATGGGAGACTTTTTATTACTTCTTCTATCTCATTACTTGTTATTGGTTTATTCAGGTTTTGGATTTCTTCTTGGTTCAATCTTTGTAGGTTGTGTGTGTCTCGGAATTTATCCATTTCTTCCAGCTTTTCCAATTTATTGGCATATAGTTGCTCATAGTAGTCTCCAATGATCCTTTGGATTTCTTCAGTATCAGCTGTAATGTCTCCTTTTCATCTCTGATTTAATTTATTTGGGTCTTCTCTCTTTTTTCTTAGTCTGGCTAAAAGTGTGTCAATTTTGTTTATCTTTTTAAAAAATCAATTTTTATTTCATTGACCTTTTGTATTTTTTTTTCAATGTCATTTATTTCTACTCTGATCTTTATTATTTCTTTTCTTCTATTAATTTTGGATTTGGTTTGCTCTTGTTTTCTTAGTTCTTTGCAATGCATTGTTCGGTTGTTTAATTGAGGCTTTCCTATTTTTTTGATGTAGGCACTTATTGCTATAAACTCTCCTCATATTACTGCTTTTTCTGTATTCTGTAGGTTTTGATATGCTGTGTTTTCATTTTCATTGTTTTGAGAAATTTTTTTAATTTGCTTCTTAATCTCTTCACTGACCTACTGGTCATTCAGGAGCATTTTGTGTAATCTCCATGTATTGCATTTTTTCCAATATTCCTTTTGTTACTGATTTCTAGTTTTATTACATTGTGGTCAGAGAAATTACTTAGCATGACTTCAATTTTTTGTTAACTTTTTAAGACTTGGTTTTTTGGCCTAAGTGTGTTCTATCCTTGAGAATGACCCGTGAGATAAGGAGAAGAATGTGTATCCTACCACTATTGGATGAAACATTTTGTAAATATCTATTAGGTCCATTTGGTCTATAGCACAGATTAAGTCCAATCTTTCTTTGTTGATTTTCTGTCTGGATGCTCTGTCCAATGCTGAAAGTGGAATATTGAGGTCTCCAAGGATTATTGAATTGGGCTCGGTCTCTCTCTTTATCTCTGATAATATTTGCTTTATATATCTGGGTGCACCAGTGTTGGGTGCATATATATTTATAATTGTTATATCCTCTTGCTGAATTGACCCATTTATCATTATACAATGACCTTCTTTGTGTCTTTTTATGGTTTTTGTCTTGAAATCTATTTTATCTGTTAGAAGTATAGCTACTCCTACTCTTTTTTGGTTTCCATTTGTATAGAATATCATTTTCCATCCCTTCATTTTCAGTTTATATGTGTCTTTATAGGTGAAGTGTGTTTCTTGCAGACAACATATTATTGGCTTTTGTTTTTTTAGCCATTCAGCTATTCTATGTCTTTTAATTGGAGAGTTTAGTCCATTCACATTCAATGTTATTATTGATAGGTAAGGACTTAGTACTGTCATGTTATTATTTGATTTCTGATTGTTTTGCCATCCTCTCATTCTTTCTTCCTTCCTTCTTGCCTTCTTTTGTTAAAAGTGATTTTCTCTGGTAGTGTGCTTTAATTTCTTGCTTTTTATTTTTTGTGTACATGTTGTAGGTTTTTTGACTTGAGGTTACCATGAGACTTGCAAAAAACATTTTATAACCAATTATTTTAAACAGATGACAACTTAAATCTGCTTTAAGTTAAGTTACAAAGAACCTAGCAAGTGGATATAGAAATCTTGCATTATTTTAGCCAAAGGGATCTTTTAGATCTGCCCACTCCTTCCCCCTGTTTAGCACAGTGATGTTGAGAGGGCTGGAACCCAGAACTCCTGAGACTTCCAAACTGCCTTTCTGGAAATACAATAATTATTTTTTATTACAGCAATTTAAATGCTCCTATATTCTTAACCATCTATAGTTTAATGATTTCTGACTAATAATTAGAACTCAAAATCAGAAAGTCAAATAATCAAAAAGATATTTTTCCTTATATATTGTTTTATTTCTGTAGGAAATATAAACATATTTTAAACCACATGTTACATAAAATATAAAATAATTTAATATAATTATTTTGAACTATAATGTTTCTCCCACTCATTTATTTTAAAATGTCTTCCTGCTTCTTTGACATCAATGTCTTTGCTACTATGAAAGACACCCTTTGAGACCGGGCGCGGTGGCTCACGCCTGTAATCCTAGCTCTCTGGGAGGCCGAGGCGGGCGGATTGTTTGAGCTCAGGAGTTTGAAACCAGCCTGAGCAAGAGCGAGACCCCGTCTCTACTAAAAATTAGAAGGAAAGTAATTGGACAACTAAAAATATATAGAAAAAATTAGCCGGGCATGGTGGCGCATGCCTGTAATCCCAGCTACTCGGGAGGCTGAGGCAGGAGGATCTATTGAGCCCAGGAGTTTGAGGTTACTGTGAGCTAGGATGACGCGTTGGCACTCTAGCCCAGGCAACACAGTGAGACTCTGTCTCAAAAAAAAAAAAAAAAGACGCCCTTTGAGCCATCAAAAGATTCCCACAGCACATCTCTTCCATTTAAGTTTGGATACAACATTTTTGTATCCATGTACAATGCTGTCTGGAAATGTTACTCTTAGTCACAAATATCAATTTCCAAAAGACAAAGTCAATGTTCAAGCATTCCTTTACCAGATATATATTAATGATCCCTACAATTGTAAACACTGAATGTACTCATTTTAGAATGCTCTTTAAAAGGCTTGTTAACCATAATATCCAGAACTAGGAATTTTGGGGTCAACCTTTTTAGAATAATTGATAAATTTTTGTTAAGAAAAAAAATTTTAACAAATCTGTCATCTAACATTGATTGGGTTGTTTCTGACTAATGTCTTCTCAATGCAGTACTAAAATTAAATTATTTCAGGAAATACCCTATTCCCTGATAGATGAAATAAGAACTCAACTCTAAGGCAATTCCCCCACTTCTGAGGAATAATTTGAGAGCTAATAATATTCCTTATATTCCCGTATACATAGTATATCCTCTTTTCAGAAGTTCACATATTAGCATATCGTAAATACTGTGCTCTTAGAAATGCATCAGGAATGAAACCTATTTACATAATCCAGTAATTATTCAACTACACATTCTTTGGAAAAGAGATTGCCTGTTCTAACATGAGAAATTGACCAAAATTTTCATGTACTTCTGACCTAGGTTGAATTCACAAGTGTTCTTGGTGGTAAAAATGGATTTAAGATACCCTAAAGACATAAAAAGAAAATAGGCAAAAATCTAAAAAGTGAGTAATATGAAACCTTATTTGTTGAAAACATCCAACAAGTAGTTATCCAGTGCCTTTGATAGGGTAGGAATAAGAAAAATCATACAGACCGAAGTAGGGGTGGAACGATGCGCCAACTATCTTCAAACAACTCATTGTTCATGACTTCAAAGATCTTGTGCTCTGTTTGGAGAAGACAGCCATAAAAGCTTTTCATTCATGTGTTAGAGGCACTGTGCTGTGCTAGAAATCATACAATCCAGAGGACAGGGGTGGGAGATATGAAGGAGAAAACGGTCCGTTCTGCAAGAGCGTCAGACAAGCCTTCATAAGGCACATGAAGCTAGAGCTCAGTACTGAAAAGTTACATCAAAAATACATGTATGATATGAAAATGAATACCAGCTAAAGTGGAACTCCATTATTAAATACATTCCAATCTCCCAGGCAAATCAGGTCCTCTCCACCCCCAAACCCCACTCCACTTCAAATATATACTGTGATAATATTGTTAATAATACACAAAAGGGGAAAGGAAAAGTAGCTGACATTTAACTTCGGTTATCATATCTAATTTTCACAATAGACCTTTATGGTAGGCTCCATCATACCCGCTTTACAGATGAGAAAACGAAGACTCTGAGGACATATTCGTTATGCAGAGTCATCACACAGAACAAAGTAGCAAAGCTGAGATCTGAGCCTGGGTCTGCTGACTTTTAAGCCCTTATGCTTTGTCACCAAAGCAATAGAGGTGATCATTTTCCACCTCCACTTCCAAAATTATAAATGTTTCCATATTCCTCTCTAATTACTGTTTAGAATGGACATTGCAAAAGTTCTTAACATCTCTGGGCCTAAGTTTTTTCATCTGTAAGAGGAGTTAGCCTGGACAGACTCCAGGATTGCTTCTGTCTTTCATAATTCTTTTCATATGTATAATTGAAAAAAGAAACTGATCTAATCTTTTTACTAATTAATCTCTGTCATATAAAAATATTTAGAAGAAGTGGAATTGCTGGGATTGTTTGACCCAAAGAAGAGAAAACACTCAGAGGGTGGGAAGGTGGAGTGGTGTCAAGGTGATCTTCAGATATTTTAAAGGCTGCTGCCAAATGAAACAGAGGTTGGACTTAATCTTTTTGGCCTCAAGGAATGTAACTAGGACCAATGAAGAGACATTCCAGACTTCTATTCCTTCTCATAAGCAGAACCCGCCTGCCCCGTGAGACACCACAGTGACAACCTGAGCAGGATAATTGGACCAGAACCTTTTAAGGTTACTGCCGAACCTAAGATTCTTTGATTCAATTATAGATTGGCCTTACATGTTAGCCCATGGAGGAGATTTTATCCTTAAGAAGATTAAAAGGGCTTGGTTCAAAGGTGTCAAACTGTAACCAGCACCTCAGTCATCAATGAATAGGTGAAAAAGATAAGGAAATGGGGTGAAGAAGGGAACATGGGATGACAAAATTCATTCTAGAAGACCCCACAGGCCCCACCTACTGTAAAGCCCGGTTCCTACCCCATAACTTCCCTGTAGTCACCATATTCGACAGGCTGGTTAGGTTTGCTGAGTGTAACCTCTGGACCACCTGAAGAACTTGGCTGTCTCTCTCCTTCTCTTTCAGATGTTCACCTCCACAATATTCGCTGCGATCGGATTCTTGGGTGCTGGATATTCCTTTGTCGTCTCAGCCGTCTCAATCAACAAGGGTCCTAAATGTCTTATGGCCAATAGCACGTGGGGATACCCCTTCCACAACGGGTAAGGCCACACCCTGCAATGCCCAAGTGTCACCACCAGGGGTGCAGGCAGGTAAACCACCCACCGGGAGAGGCTGCGCAGCGTCCTGTCATCTTCCTTACACAAGCCTCAGGCTCGCCGCTCCGCTGAGGCAGAGCTGGAGTTGTGGAGTGGAGCAGGGCTGCACCGGGCCTCATCTGGAATTGCTCTTTTGACAGACACCAGGAGAAACAGCAGAAAGAGGATGCCTCAGTTGGTCTGAGGGAAGGAGGAGATTTGTGGTGGCACCACTTGCGTCCAAATATTTATTAGCAGCAAGGCAAGGCAATTAGTAATATTAATGAACAGAATAGTGGCTTCATTACAAATCTTACGGTAAAAAGCAAGAACGATTACTCACTAACTGGGCTCAAAGACTTTGACTAACACCCTGAATTGCCTATAATTAAACAATATTTTAAGGTGAAAATTTACAGAAAATCACATTGAAAACATTACAAGTTTTTCATGTTAATGTTAATAGAATTCATTAAAATAACATTTCATATTTTCCTGGTACTTCGTAGGTTGTAAAGAACTTTTCCCCCCACAAATTTATAAGTTAATCTCCTTAGCAACCCCAGCAGGCTTAATAAGTTTAACTTGCTCAAAGTCACAGTTAGTTGAGGACAAAGGCAGGGCTCAAACTCAGGTGTTCTGAATTCAAGTCTTCCCTTTTCATGTTACACTTCCTTCTGCCCTGCACTGGCCAGGACTGCACTGCCAGTCCAGTAGCCAGTAGCCAAATGTGCTATTTAAACTTAAATTCATTTGAATGAAATAAAGTTAGAAATTCAATTCTTCAGTCATGCTATCTATATTTCAAGTACTCAGTAGCCACATCCGGCTTGTAGCCACTATACGGAATAGCTCAGAGATAGGACATTTCCGTCACTGCAGACAGTTCTGTTAGACAGAGCTTGCACTAGTCTTTAACCTCCAAGAGGGCTTGGACAATTTCTGTTTTGTTCACTATCTCTGCCCCTGTGTCTAGCACAGTGACTGGCACATCCTACGGGGTCAGAAAATATGATTATTGGGACTTTCTGCACATGAAGGATGGGTCCATACCCCCCAAAATCTGTAGAACACCAATATATTAACTGGAATCCCAATTATTAATTTACCATAAGATTCTAAAGAACCTCAAGAGCCGGCTTCAGACTGGGGAGGTACAGGGCCCTGGTTCTGTTGTGTTGTGGGTCTTGGTTTGTTCAGAGGCATCACATAAGATATCCCCACCCCATTCTCATAGTTAAACAGTACGAGGTCTCTAACATCCGCGTAGCACATGCAGCGATTCTCGAACCTATTTATTAATAGTTTACTGTGGAAAGCCTTCTTATCGTGCAGAGGACTGTTGGGGCTATACTGCCACGGGGGTGGTTTGCTTGAGCATGGAATTCAGATACCAGAAGACCAAGCCACCACTTGAGATTCTTCCCCTGCAGCTCACTCTCCCCACCTAGGGCTGTGTCCATGAAACTACAGATGATGTTTTGTGAAAAGAACCCTTCTATTAATTCCATCAACAGCATCAGTGCAGCCGTAAACATATTTTTCTTTTTATTCTGTTATGCAAATAATACTACCCTCAATGAACTTAAAATCAGTTAGAATGAATCTATGTCTAAAACAAAGGAGAGAGAACGGAAACCCAGCAAATGCGGAGGAAAAAGCAGTACAAAGCAGTCCAAAGGTCTCATGTAAACTGACTTCAGCACCCTCCCCTGGCACACCCGTGCCCTGTGCAGGAGGCGGCGGTACCGAGCCCCAAGGTCAGGAGTGACGACTGGTCTGTGGGGCACCACAGGAAGTGCCAACATGGGCGAAGGGCAGGAAACCACTTTTCAAAGCACTTCGTCCTTCTGGGGAAGCAAGTTTTTATTCACGTCCACAGCCATTTATCGTGCATTGCTCCATGATAGATGCATCAAACATTGTATCTACTCCTCACGACAGCACCTAGCCCCTCCATTAACAGGTATCAGATTATGAAGATTTTATAATACAGACAGAATAGAGTAAACCTTGCAGGCAAGCAGCAACCTTTCAGAATTCTCTCCCCGTCTTCTGTTCACTGTATAGCTTTGGTAATTATCTGAAGGGAGAATGATTTGAATACCTAGACATCTGCACAGTGGCTTCTAACTATAATGTGACCGAAAATTACTGTATAGCAGTATATTAAAACTCATATATATACCACAGTTTCCAGGTGATTTATGAAATATTCAAGAATGATTTTGACTGTTCATGTTTGTATTAGTCTGTTTTCTGTTGCTTATAACAGAATACTTGAAACTAGGTGATTTATTAACATAAAGAAAAGGAATTTCTTTCTTACAGTTAGGGAGGCTGAGAAGTCCAAGGTGGAGGGGCTGCATCTGGTGAGGGCCTTCCTGCTGGTGGGGACTCTCTGCAGAGTCCCAAGGCAGTGCAGCATATCACATAGTGGGGCGGCTGAGTGTGCTTGTTTAAGTGTCTCTTCCTCTTCTTATAAAGCCGCCTGTCGCACCCCTATGACAACCCATTAATCCATCAATCTACAAATCCGTTCATGAGGTCAGAACCCTCATCACCCAAGCACCTCTTAAATGCTCCTCTTCTCAATAGTGCCACTTAATTGGGGATTAAGTTTCAACACGAGTTTTGGAGGGGACAAATATTTAAACCACAGCAATGATTTTTCCCCTCATGCTCTAACTTTAGAATTCAGTCCCACATCAGACGTAAGGCCAGTCTCTGTGCAAGGTGTGAAATATGCCACGACGGCTACGGGAAGGGCATTTCGGGGGACAGGCCCAGGTGGAGTGCATCTCCCTTCATGCTCTTTGCCGCCCGGCAGGCTCTCAGCAGCTTTCCACTGTCTCCTGGCATCTGTTTCCCGTCTTCCGAGACCAGAACTCACATTCCTTTTTTTTTTTTTTTTTTTGAGACAGGGTCTCGCTCTGTTGCCCGGGCTAGAGTGCCGTGGCGTCAGCCTAGCTCACAGCAACCTCAAACTCCTGGGCTCAAGCAATCCTCCTGCCTCAGCCTCCTGAGTAGCTGGGACTACAGGCATGCGCCACCATGCCCCCCAGCTAATTTTTTCTGAGTAGAGACAGGGTCTCACTCTTGCTTAAGCTGCTTTGAACTCCTGACCTCAATCCTCCCACCTTGGCCTCCCAGAGCGCTGGGATTACCGGCGTGGGCCACCGCACCCGGCCACTATCTGCTTTTTGCCTAGATTCCCTTCTGGCAAAGTTCACGGGCCTCTGTCTCCTACTCTTTTCCACTATACGGTGGACTCCTCTTATCCATCAGCTCCCAGCACGCAGGCACATAGCGTTGTCGTTACAGCCGTGAGCCCGATAGATACACGGTTACTTAGAGAGTAGAAAGGACCAGCCACTTGCATGAGGCCAGACAGGAAGACTGAAGACAGTTGTCACTTTTCCTTATCGCTAAAGGACAGCAGCAGTGGTGGCGGCTACTTGGCTGCTTCTCCTTCTTGTTCTTCTCCCTCCTCCTCCTCCTTCTCCTCCTTTTCTTCCCAGTGATTAAATGTTAAGTATTTTTATATACATTATCTCACTTGATATTCCTCATAAATTGGAGAAGAATTTTTATGCCTAGAGGAAAAAAATTAAGTTCAAAAAGAGTAATTTTCCCAGGGCTCCACAGCTAGTAGTTGATAGAGGAAAAATGTTTTTAAATACATTTTGTCAGTATCCTAGTCCGTGCTGAAGCCAATTCTAAACGTGGAACAAAGGACAGACAAAGTTCCTGCCCCAGTGAGCTCGTGGGTTCGGGTGACAGCACGGATGAGGTCCTCACCACACGGAAGGTGATGCAATGGAGAAGGAGCGCGAGCGCGGACTGGCTTTGGAGGACAAGCTGAAGTTCGCTTTGCAGAGAGGGAGGGGAAGCACGTTTCGGGCTCAGGGAAGAGCAGGACACTGGGCGGCCTGGAGTTCAGGGTGAGTGTCGGGGAGAGCGGCAGAAGGGGACACCACTCAACGGGCTGTGACTGAGGCAGGCCGGACCCTCCAGGGCATCAGGGGCACAGCAGAGAACTTCAAGCAGGACACGGCGTGGCAGCATTGGACTTCCAGAACAGCGATGCTAGTGACATGGAGGCTGAACAGAAGGGCTCAGGAACTGAAAAGAGAGAAAAGAGGAAGGTTGGAGCTGTAATCTAGGTGAGATCATGAGCACTGGGCACCTCCAAGGCAGTGGAATTAGGACTCTCTGAAAGAGACAAATTTCAGAGACTGTTTGAGATGGAGTCATGGGGATTAGGTATGAGGAGAAAAGGGGAAGGTTAGCAAGGTGGACTCTGAGATTTCCAGCTTGGGATGCAAAATCCAGGGCTGTAGGATTTAGCACTGTTTTCCCCAGAAATGTTTTTTGGTGATAATATCAAGGAAGCAAAGACAGTTAACTTTTTCTGTCATGAGAACAACATTAAAGCAGCATCCCAGAAGGAAAAAGAAACTTGGAATATTTCGAGATACACCCTTTGGGCTTTCTTTGAGGTAGGACCTCCTTCCACCCAAGGTCTTCCTTTCCAAGACAATTGGCCACCCTTACATTGACCCTGAGCTGGCAGGGAAGGGAAGCAGCTGGCACAGGCCGTGGGGACAGCCGTGGGAGGGAAAGCTAGAGGAAGAGCCAAGGACGTTCAGCTGGGGGAGAAGGACATGGCCAAGCATGGCACCCCCCAGGTCAGCCTGCAACCCTCCCCATTCCCTGGGAAAGAGTTGAGCAGCGGGGAGAGTGCTCTCAAAATAGTCAGGGCCAGATCCCAAGCCACTGAACTGTATACAATTAAAGATTCTGCCTGGACTTTCAGTTAGGACTGTCTGCATTTGCACTTCAAAGATTGCTTATTAGCTAGGAACCCCATGAGCGGCTTGTGCACATATTCGCAAGAGCTAAAAGCCACATGGTTAGGATGAGGTTGGATTGCACCACGTGATCTCAGCTCTCATGAAGCAGAAACACTTCACAAATGTTAGGAACCAGCTTTGCCTTTGGCTGACTTAGGGTCCAGTCACACCTCTGCCACGTACCAGAAGTATGATCTTGGGCATTCATCTCTCAGGCTCTTCATCTGTGAAATGGGCCTAATAGCAGCATCTATCTCACAGGTTTAGGTGAGAATAAAACAACATGATGTACATACAGCACTCAGCACAATTCCTGCCACGTACCACTAGATAAACATTCAGCCTTATTTTCATTTTATGGCTATAACTCATTGTTGTGAATGGAATTCATTATTATACATTAGAACTTTCTAAAATGTTATGCTTTTATAATAACAATTTGCAACTTAATTTTAATTCTCTCAAGGCACAAATAAGGTTCAAAGAGAATAATCTCTTTATTATTGTATAGGTAAATCTTGATTGACATACTGTTGTAGATGTATAAATCAAATTTCATAAATAAATCATATTTCAAATATAGTAAGGGAATAGAACTACTCCCACAGAGGGCGTTTGTGTAATGCGTAAGAGCACTGGCTTTGAAGTCAGACAGACCTAAGATCAAATCCAGGCACTTCCATTTACTAGCCTTAGCTTCTTGATCTGTAAAATGGGTATATGTTCATTCATTCATTGGATGTTTACTGAAGGGCTACTCTATGACAAACACTGTTCAAGTAAAGTAGCACCTCTTTGTAACATTAGGAAAGATGACCTAAAGCAGCTAGCTCAGTGTCTGGCACATGGTCAGGGCCCAGTAAGTGATAGCTGCTGCTATTTATGGAACACTCCCTGTGCTGGAACTGGGGACAGAGATGGGGAGACATGGTCTCTGCCTTTGTGAGTTTATAGTCCTGAAGAGAAGACAAACCAATGGACAGAAGATGACAGCACAGGGTCCTAGAGGCTCTGTATAAAAGGGAAACACAGAGTGCTGGGAAACACAGAAGGGTATTAAAGCCAGGCCAAGGACAGGAGGGGCATTGTGGAGCTTCTCCTGTAGGAGGTGGCTTCTGACTTAGCAACAAAAAATGGGCCAGGCAAAGCATTTGGGCTTCCCTTGTTCCTTTCCTTAGCTGCCTTTGCTGCTGGATGGAAGGGAGTTCTATGGAATCCATGCCTTCCTACCCCCTTGTTGATGGGATTACTGCAGCTCAGGTGAAAATGCCCTTCATAATAATTGGATGCTTTAAAACATCAGTTAAGTGGCTTTAAACTGCCTCCGCTCTCCCTGCCTCATAGAATATGGAAACATGTTTAGCTACCAGGTCCATGAAAAATCCAAGTCCCCTCTCACGCCAGGGCTGGGGAGTTGGACACAGCAATCAAACTGCACGTGCAAACAGCCTGTCTCTTCCAGGATCTCTGAGACTGTCAGGACCTCAGCACGGGTACCTGTGGTGGTTTGTGAGGCTGCAGCAGGAATGACACTGAGAGGATTTTTCCAGGCGTCCAAATTCAGTTCTTGCTTCCAAGTCTGCCCCCCAATAAGCGTTTCACCAATCTCACCACCAGGTGGTGCTGTGATCCCACTACTGTACAAACGCTCCACAGAGGCCTGAACTCCGGGTTGACAAATACTTCACCTTAGGATCTTTTCTTTATAAACTGTGCCTGGAAAATACTGTATTTTGATAACTTCTTATAATCACCAAGTTTTAAAATTGTAAAGATAGAAAGGACTACATGGAAAAACGCGGAATAGAAAGATGGTGTTCGATGTTTTAAAAAAAGGCTTTTTCCCAATGGGCAACAGGTTTGCCACGAGAACACAGATATCGTGAAAATCACCCCTAAATCAAAGTCAGAATGGAAAGGAAAAGGCTCATATCAACATCATTGTGATTGGACATGTAGATTCAGGCAAGTCTACCACTACTGGCTATCTAAGCTACAAATGTGGTGGGATCAACAAAAGAACAATTGAAAAATTTGAGGAGGCTGCTGAGATGAGACATCATTAAAGAAGTAGCACCTACATTAAGAAGATTGGCTACAGCCTGACCCCGTAGCATTTGTGCGATTTCTGGTTGGAATGGTGGTGACATACTAGAGCCAAGTGCTAAGAAGCCTTGGCTCAGGGATGGAAAGCTGCCTGTACAGATGGCAATGCCAGCGGAACCATAATAGTTGAAGCCCTGGATTGCCTGCTGCCACCACCTCGTCCAACTGACAAGCCCTCTCGTCTGCCCTCCAGATGTCTGCAAAATTGGTGGTATCGGTACTCTCCCTGTGGGCTGAGTGGGGACTGGTGTTCTCAAACCCCACGTGGAGTCACTTTGCTCCAGTCCACGTGACAACTGAAGTAAAGTCTGTTGAAATGCACCATGAAGCTTTGTGCGAAGCTCTTTCTGGGGACAATATGGGCTTCAACGTCAAGAACGTGTTTGTCAAAAATGTTTGTCATGACAACGTTACTGGTGACAGCAAAAATGACCTGCCAATGGGAGCAGCTGGCCTCACTCCTCAGGTGACTATCCTGAGCAGTCAGGCCACATCAGTGCTTGTTATGCTCCTGCACTGGCCTGTCACGCAGCAGTTTGCTGAGCCGAAGGAAAAGACTGATTGCCATTCTGGTAAGAAGCTGGAAGAAGGCCCTAAAGTCTTGAAATGTAGTGATGCTGCTGACGTCGATACGGTTCCTGGCAGCCCACGTGTCTTGAGAGCTCCTCTGACTGTCCTCTTCTGGGTCATTTTTCTGTGTGTGACACGAGATAGACAATTGTTGCGAGTGTCATCAAAGCAGTGGACAAGAAGGCTGCCAGAGCTGGTAAGGCCACCAAGTCTGCCCAGAAAACTCAGAAGGCTGAGTGTCCCTGACGCCTGCCACCCCAGACTAAACGAGTGGTGGAAGAAGGGTCTCAGAACTGTTTGTCTCAATTTGCCATTTAAGTTTAGTAGTAAAAAACTGGTTAATGATAACAATGCATCATAAAGCCTTCAGAAAGAAAGGAGAATGTTTTGTGGACCATTTTGGATTTTTTTTCATGGGGGAAGTTTTACGTTATCGGGTTTTAAAATTGGTACTTTTTAATAGAAACAACTTGACCAAAAATCTGTCACAGAATTTTGAGACCTATTAAAAAAGTTTAATAAGAATAAAAGTACCGAAAAGAATAGTCTTATGCAACTATAGATAAGGTGTATTATCTCAGTGAATTCTCACAATTGTGAGGTGAGCCCTTTTCATAGATGAAGAAACTGATGCTAACTAAAGAAGGGTAGCAACTTGTATGGGAACACACAGCTGGTAAGACGAACACTTGGATTCAAACCCAGGTTCATCTGAATCCAAAATACCAGGCTCTTTCCGTTAGACCAGACTGCTTAGATATAGTAAAATAATGACAATACTAGCGTTTATTGAGTACTTACTATATGCTAGGCACTGAGTTCAGCACTTTACTCATATTAAGTCACGTAATCCTCACAATAACCCTATTATGTGATAGATAATGTTACTGCCGTTTTACAGATAAGTACACAAGTCACACAGCTAGCAAGCTGCTAATACCTGTGCTTTTATGGACAGGTGAATCGATGCTATAAACAATGTTTTATTTTTAAATCAAGAGCGAAATGCTCAGTCCTTCCTTTGTGATGATAAAGACCATTATAAAGATCCAAAAAGCAATAAGATGAACATTAATTCAGTAGCCAGATGGAGAGTTTCTCATTGAAGCTCTGAAAGATGGAGGAAAAGTAAAGGAAGAGACCAATTTGTGGCTTTAAGACTGAGAGAAGGAATTGTAATAATTCACAAGATTTTACCCACTTTACTCTCATTTTTGTTTCAAAGGTATCATACTTCACATTTCTCCTTCAAGGCACAATGCCCTTTATATCGTAGTTAACTCTCTCTACATGTAATAAAATATAAATATATTGCAGTTTCTTCTAATTCAAAGTTTATGTAAAATGTGTATTAAGGCAGCAGATTGTTTCTCCCTTCTGAGGAAAATTCATTACATCTTTTTGTGTGTGAAATTCCTACATGTTAACAAAAATATAGTTGAGTCAAATTCACGATTCGGTTAAAATTAGGCCTTAAAAAAAATCAAGCTCTTCCCTTTAGCTATATGACACCTTTGTACTTTGCATGGCTTCATGTAGATTTGACAGATAATTTGTCAAAGCTGAAATGGTCTCTAATGACGATAGCTAGGACAAAGGCCACAAACGTTTGTGAAATTCTATTCCTGGGGTGTCATCATTTTTCTGGCCCTATCATAGGTAGTGAATTTACTCATCCTCTCGGGCAGCTCACAAAAAAATTGCTGTACCACTTAGTAGTTGTGTGACCTGGGAGCAAGTCATTTAACCTCTCTGTGCTTTAGATTCCTTAGTTGTGAAGTAGAAAAAGGAATTATAGGTTTGTATGAGGAAAAAATGAGTGAATCTGTGTGAAGTGATTAGAACAGGGTCTGTCACGTAGGATGTACTCCATAAAAAATGGTAGAGTTTTTTTCGTCTTTTGTTATTACAGGGTATTTTTCCATGGGGCTTGTTTTGAATGGAAAGTATTGCACAAAAAAAGTTGTTACGGTAACTTTCCAGTCTACACACAGAATTGCATACTTTTAACAAATGTCTCCTTTTTCCTCCGTGTCACCAACAGGGATTATCTCAGTGACAAAGACTTATGGAGCAAGTGCCAAGAGCCTGCTGATGTGGTTCCTTGGAATCTGACCCTCTTCTCCATCCTGCTGGTCATAGGAGGAATCCAGATGATTCTCTGTGCCATCCAGGTGATCAACGGCCTCCTGGGGACCATCTGTGGAGACTGCCAGTGTTGTGGCTGCTGTGGGGTAAGTAAAGACCTTTGTTGTTTCTTCTCAGCATGAGGGAGGCCACGTCAGGCCACCAGCATAATGTGATGAGGCGTGGTGAGTGTGGCCACCCACTGCAAACCAGGCCAGGCTGGGAACTCCGTCAGCTCGTGGAGACAGTGATGCTGCATTGCTAGAACCTAAAAGTTCTGCTTTCAGTGCATGTTGGGCACGTTGAAGTTGGTCACAATGTTTAGTCTCACGTCCAGCTGAACACAGTCCTGGAGACAAAGAACCCCATCGACATGTAAAGGTTTACAATGATGTTTATATGAAGATCCACAGGATGTGAACATTGTCATATGGGCTTATTGTCAGTAAGAATACGTCATGGCCTGGCCTGCAGCATTCTCACTTCCTCACGATGGCCAGTCAAGCAAGACATCACCCTTCAGTGGCAAGAGCTGACAACCACGGATGCTGCCTTCGCTAAAACTTAATTATTGATTAAATAATCTTATCTCACAACCCTGGAAGTAATGCTGTAGAAGAAAGGGCTTCAGATCTGCCCATGCTTGGGCTAGCTCACTGCACTCCTTGGCCCAAACTGCTTACATGATCCAAAACAAATAATATCTTCCAGTGGATTTTTCATATTTGAACCTGAAGTTTTAAAAAAATTAGTAAATAAAACTACCGCTAGTACTAAAAATAAATAAATAAATAAATAAAAATAAAACATAAACATCATTGTGGAATAGAAAACTACCAGCTAGTAATCCACCAAAATTATTTTTACAATAGCAGTGGAGAATATCGAGCATTTAAATCTTGTAACTCACCCAAAATGAATTAATGTTGACTAGATCATAAAAGCTTCAGTTCCTGTATATTTTAGCTGGGTGGTAAATTTTCTTGACAGGATTTACTGAAAATTTGATTACTTTTTGAATTGATAAGAATAGTTTACTATTAATAAATCTGAGGATTATCTGTCAGTTTAAGAAACATACCCATAGGTTCCAGTACGGTGACTCTTTTCAGTGAGTTCCGTCTATTCCGACACCATACTTTGGTGATCTCAGTGACTGAATCATTCCATAGCCAAAAGACAGTAGGTGGACTCCGTGGCTGTCGGCACACAGGCACAGAGAACCACGGAGGGCGAAGGGACACCACTGCAGTTCTCTTTTTCTTCCCTTCCTTCCCTCCTCCCTCCCTTCCTCCATCCTTTCTCTCCCCCCTCTCTCTTTCTCTCCTTCTCTCTCTCCCTCTTCTCCAACTTTTTACGTTGAAAACTTCAAATCTACATAAAAGTTGAAGGTACAGTTCAATGACCACCCCTGTACTTTCACCTGTGTTCACAAAATTGTTAATATTCGCTCACCCTCTCTCTTTCTGAACTCTTGGAAAGTTAATTTTCAAACCTCATGAAATCTCACCACTAAATATTTCCGTGCACGGAGCAGCAGTTTTTTTTTTAAAATCAACCTGCTGAGGATTTCTTCCTTGCCGGCAGCTTGCCTCTCCTTCGGATGCTGCGCAAGGACTGGGGCTGTCGGCCTCGTTCCCGACTGACTAGCCGAGTGACCCGAGTGACCCGAGTGACCCGAGCAAGCCGGCCCACTTCTCAGCCTCAGTTACCCCCGCCTTGCCTAACTTGTGGAGAAAGTGCGCCGGTCAGCATCCGCCCATTCAGGCAGAAAGGCAGAAAGTCCTTGTTGAGAACTTCCTGAGCTTGGCACGGTCCTTAAGTAGATGGGAACATGCCTTAAAACACAAGCTAGGAGACCGGGTTTGCACGTCAGCTGTGTGGTCTCGGCCAAGTCGGTTGACCTCAATTTTTCCTTATCTGTAAAACGTGCTTATTAATACCTGCTTCCTAAGGTTGCTGACGGAGTGTCTAATACAGGGGGATAAATATGCATTCATTTCAACGCTTAGAAGGCTCAGTAAATGGTGCTGATTGTTATTTACTAACAGTATGCAAATTAGTGAGGTAGCATAGCTTCAAGGAAAGTAACGCAATCTCTGGGTTCAGCCTCCCGGGTTCAAATCCTGGCTCTTCTACTTATTAGTTGTGGCTTTCCACACAGCGCTTGATCTCTTGGCACCCCTTGCCAAAATAATTTTAAATAATAAATGATGCAAAACAAAATGAAGCTTCAATTCCTATAAACTCAACACAGGTAAGTGACAAATTAAAGCTCTGTAACAAAGTCAGAGAAATATAGAAAACATTCAATAGGCAACCAATAAGGGCCAGGAGGAAGACAGATGAGGTTGGGAAAGAAGGAAGGGAGAAGAATCTTTTTTTTTTTTTTTAAAAGGGATGATATTGTAATTGGTTCACTTTTTCTACCTTCTAGGGAGATGGACCAGTTTAAACCTCTGCGATGAGCTGCTCCAACCCTACAGCAGAGGGAAGATACATTAAACTTATTCTTCTCTTCTTGGGGTTGTTAATTTCCTATCTGCTTCCTAACTAGCAAAGTGTGGGGAGGGTGGAGTTATTCCTTCTTCCTTCCAGCCAGCTTTGCTTGAGTTAGAGTTTTGTCATTTTCAAATAAAAAATAGGCCACTTAACAAATATGATTTATAAATCTTTCAAATTAGCTTCTTTTTAGAATTTAAGAAAAGGTTCAAAGCAAATTGTTCATGATTTTTTTTCCTTAAACGTGTAAAATGTATAAAGTCATATGTATTGTCACACTGCTTCTTTGTATATAAGGGTGTTTATTTACATAAAACATAATTTAAAGCAGGTAAATTCATTAAAAATGAGAAGCTAAGACCAACCTTTGTTTTCACGATTTATGGGAAAAAAAGAATGATTGATTTATCATAAACATTTTTTGCTTGATAACCTTTTTGCTAATTTGTTTGAGTTACTTGTGAGTAGTCCTTTGAGACTGTCATCATTTGCTAGAGTTTCCTGATGTATATTAAATTAAAATCTGAATTCAGAGATAATATATCAAAGACTGTGTGTGTTTTGGGAGGGAGGGGCAAAAGGGTGAATGAGTAATACCTTCTCATCTTCTCTACAAATGCTTCCTTCCCCTTTGAGCAAACAAAAAAAGTTTTTAAAAAGTTGATTTGGGTAATAATTTTGTCGGCCTATTGCACAGGATTAAGGTAATAAGTATTATTACTTCTGTGTGTTATATGAAGATATTACTTTGGTTTTATGAGTCAGGCATGAATAGGAAGTCGCATTCATTCTGTTGACTTAGATTCAAACCCCAACTCCACCACATACTACCTTAGTGGTATTTTCTAAATCTCCATTTCCCCATCTGTAAAAGGACTGTTAAAAGGTAGTCAATCATCCAGGAAATTTTGAGGTCACCCAAGGGTGAAACAAAGGCCTGTGGGATTATCGACGTGACTGGCGTGAAGTAAGAAGGATCTCAGAGAGAATTACAAGCCAGAAAGTCTCCTTTCTGCACCTGCCGGGTTGATAGTCTGCACTATGTAGATGAGACACACCGAAAACTAAGAGAAGTATAGTCCTCAGTAAAGCAACTAGCAATCACCTACTGTGTACCAGCCACTGGGAGCTAGGCCCTGAAGATACAAAGAGTTGCACGCTGTGATTTTGCCCTCACTGCAATGAAAACTCTGAGATCAGATATTGTGTTAATATATGGCACCTGCAACTTAATAGGCAGAAAGGCACTAAAGATCTCGGGGGCCTATAAATACACACACAAACACACACACGCACACGCACACACACACAGAGTGTTTCAGTTCAGTTTAGACCATTTGTTCTCAAACATGGCTGATCATCAAAATCACCTAGGAAATGATCTAAAATTACAGATTCCTGAACCACAGCCTAGACCTACTGCAGCTGAAAATCTGGGCATGAGGCATGGAAGGTTTCATGGGGTCTTTTTTGTCATTTATTTTATTTTTAAAGCTCACCAGGTGATGCTGAAAACCATCCACTTTGATCAACCATGGCCTTAGATCACTGCCTGGCAGAATGAAGGTGGGTCAGGCCCTATTACTGCCCATCAGGAGCTCACACTTTACTGATGAATATTAACACAAGGTAGTACATGCTAAATTTTAAAGTGTGACCCAGGTAATCAGGTCACGATGCTGCAGAAGTTCAGAGACATTAGGCTACTAGTACCGATTCCCCTACCTGAGAATTTTTTTTTTAAGCAGGACGCCATTAATTGGATTATCTGAATTATTTGATGAGGAAATTTGAATCGGGATAAGAGGCATCAATTCCCGATTTAGGGGTTTTCAGTGATTCAGAATTTTAGGAAAAAGGAGAATTGTAGTCATCATCAAATCTGGCCTCATTATTTTATAGATGAAAAACTAAAATAAGCCTTTGACAAGTTTTCACACAAAAAGGCCATTTTTCAAATTCGGTTACCATAAAATTCGAGGAAATAGCTTACCATGGAGAAGAGGACTTAGAAGGAAGAGACAGGAAACAAATGGTAAAGATGAGTGGGCCTCTCTCTTTGGAGATGCCCTTGTACACACACACGCCAAGGTGGGTCTTCAGACTGTCCAGAAACCTCTCTTAGGGGAATTGCCAACTTTGTGTTGCTTACTTTAGCACGTGACTTATTTCCCTATACTTTAGATTACAAGTTCCTTGAGTCAAGAGCAGTATGTGATTCGAATCCACAGTCCCAGTGCCTAACATGGGACCTAGCTCAGAGTCCGCAATGAATAAATTTATGTGGGTGGATATGCACGGAGCCCCTAATTTTCCTTCTCCTTATACCCTTTCACTGAGTGAGGTAGTGTCCTTAGCCCTGAAAGAAACTTTCAAAATGAGAAAGCTTTCAAAAATGAGTAGGCAAAACAAGTAGGCAGTGGGTGTCTATTCTAAAATTGAACCCGAAGCTGGAGGGATCTCAGTACACAGATCCATGTGTACAAAACTTTAAATTGTATTTTCTATAACCGCATTTGGTTTCTAGCTCTGAATGCCATTGCACCAGGCTTTAACTTGGGTCATTCTTGGGGTTTTCCCCCTTGCCTCAGAATTCTACTGGGCCCACAAGCACAGGGCCAAAAGCCCACTTGAAAAGGGGAAAGGAAAAGGAGAAATGCTAGCAAAAAAATAATAAAATCTAAATTATTATCTCAAAATATTATATAGCCCCATATGCATAACATGCTGAGGGACCTGAGCTATTAGTGATGATGGAGGAAAAGAAATGGAACAAATTTGTGGATTTTTTTCCCAAACACACCAACCACATGTACAGTTGCTGGCAAGAAGACGTTATAACAAAGTGCTGAACAAAGTTAATGTAAATGACACCAGTTTCATCCCACTATTCAAATCCTGGCAGTGTCTGCCCAGGCATTGAGGGCAGCTCTGCTCTGAGCAGCTTACGGAAGACACAGGGCCTAGAGGATCTCCAGATGGCGAAAAACAACAAACGGTCAGATGGAACATCCCAAGACAGACATCATAATTCTTCCGTGTACATACACCCAGCTGGCAGCAGGACATGACTGAAGGCTCTCGGTTGATCTCAGAAAAAGAAGACATGAAGTGCATTCAAATTTAGTCAGCAAGCCTAAAATAACTGTCTTGGCATACAACCCTTGAAATGCAGGAGAGAGAATTCCCGGGCACACCATAATCTATTGGAGCTAGTCATCTAAAAGGTGAGATAGGACACCCGCATGCTCACACACACACACACACACACACGCACACACACACACACAGAAGAAAGAAAGAAAACAATAGTTCTAGAGCTTAGAACAATTAATGGGAAAGGACCATCAAGATTGGCCCTAGGGAGGGAAATATCCGTCTTTCTACAAAATTACTTTGTCCTGTGTTAAAAACATTGATTAGCTGACCTTGACCTTAACCTAATGTATCACCCAGGGTCCAGTCAGAGATCAAATACCTATGCGTACACACAACACACACATACACACACACACACACACACACACACACACACACGCTACAGGAATTTGACCTTACATAACTATTGGAACTGGTTTAGCAGTCTCTGTAAGACTGTTGTCTTCACATCCCATTCTGGAACTTGAAGTCCACAGGGCAGGCAATCAGCAAGGCAATCAGACTTGGATGTAAAGTCTGAGAGAAGAACAAGCTGTAAACCACAAGCGTGAGCTGGAGCCTGCGAGGGTGGAAACCCTGTCAGTTCTTGTGGCCTCTGACCTGGATGGTATGGGTGTCCTGCAGCAGCCGGAGCCCTTTGCCGTGGAGCTAAGATGCACAACCTGGCCCCGGAGTCAAGACGCTGCAGGAGAATCCCGGGGAAGGTGCATGGGTGCAGGCCCCACTGTGGTCCTGTGTCAGCAGCGGTCCCCAACCGTTTTGGCACCAGGGACTGGTTTCATGGAAGACAATTTTTCCATGGATGGGGGGAGGGGGGAAGAGCTCAGTGGTGATGTATGCCATGGGGAGCGGCTGTCAATACAGATGAAGCTTTGCTCTCCGCTCACGGCCCGCTGTGCGCCTCCCTGCCCTTCCTAAGTTTCATGGAAGATAATTTTTCCACAGACGGGGGATGGGGGTGGGGAGACTGCAGCCTGGGGTTTGGGGCCTGCAGAGCTAGAGCATGGTCGCTGCTTCTCTTCTGCCACCAAAGTGCTCAAGAATCCCTCCTGCGGTGCCCCCTAACAGGAAACACAGGAAAGGGGCTTTGGGGAAACGAACTCTAACCTAGCCAGACTGACGCAAATCACAAAACTGCCATGCCCAATTCGAAGAAGGGAATGAATGGTTTTTCAGTTTTCTCATGTGTGTGCATGTGTTGTCTTAGTCTAGGTCAGGGTTTCTCCGCCTCTGCAGTATTGACAGCCCCTCCACATTCTCCCATGACACCCTGCACATGTCCGAGTGCTTGCGCTTGTCACGTTTATCATCCAGCATTTCCTTCCCTCGCTCTGGACTGAGCACTCCTTGAGCTCAGAGACCGTCTCATCAGTATTTGCCCCTCTTCTAAGCACCAGGCCTGGCACACAGTAGGTGCTAGCTAAGTAGATGTTATCATTGTTACGGTGGTGTGACTAACTTATTCTGCTCAAGAGAAAAAGAAAAGGCTGCTCTGAAGCATTTTGGAATCAAGCATTTATGATAAAAAAAAAAAACCTCAAACCTTGGTAAGTGATATATGTGGATAATTTCACTCAGGCCTCAAAACAACTGCCCACGCTTACACAGCTGCCTGCTTCTCACCCTCTGCTTTGTGCGGCCGCACTTTAGTCAGCCCCTCTCCTCCCACAGGCCCTGAGCTCCGCTCGCCCCAAGCCTGAGCAAGAGCTGAAATGTCCCCTTATCAGCTTGTCCCAGCAGTGCAAAGTGATCCTGCCCCCTTGCCTGCCCGACTTCCCATTTCTGCTAAGCTCTGCTTACCCCTCCCTATAAAAGAAAAGCCTTTTCTGGTTCTTTTTGGGACATTTGCAGATTCCTGAGATGGGAGCGTTCTCTCTATTCCAATATTCCTCTTGAAGAGTGTTATCCCTTATCTAAGTCCAGGTCTGTTTCTATTTGACACAAGCCTCTGATATGGAAACTATGATTTGCTCCATTTTGTACCAGAGTAAAG